CACAAGTGCACTCTTGCCGGTGTAAATACAGAGCAAGAAGACAGAGACTGTCATACTGAATATCTTGTTAGCAATCCTAGTTCTGTGTTCCTGCAGGACCCTGTACTGATGGAAGGGGGAACTTCCTCCCAACACCATTCAGGTAGCAGCTGACTCATGCCTTGAAGCAAAGCAGTCGCATCTGCTGCTATTTTCATTGCTCGTATTAATCACTTAGATTTGCTGGCATCTTAAATGTTCACTAAACAGCTCCAGTTCTGTCCTGGGAACAAGCCTGTGCTGTCTCTGCACTACGCAGCCTACAGGCGATGCAGCTGGGCATGGTTTCCTCTCTCCTGGCCCTACCTCTCTGGTCACTTCTTTATAAAAATATGTTTTCTCTTAGCATTTGGAACCTGGTTACCTTTTGTTTAATTCATGATCTTGTTTTTGTGCCAGCTATTGTTTGATATTTGTATCAACAGAGCTGCATTAAATTGTCACCTTGGAGCATGGCCCTAAGTGTTTAATTCCAGTTTGGTGGTGTTTACAGGCACTAATAAGAAATAGCAGGAGTTCAAAGGGAAATCTTGCATTTCTCTTCACGGAAACCAAGATTCAAAACCCTTTAACAGGCAGTGTCCTGTTAGTAGCTGTTTCAATTCATGTTTGTGCCCATTTTAAACGCTGCAGCGAGATGGCAATCACACATTGTGTCTAGGAGGGACTTATAGTTACTATGTGATTATTGTTTTCTCAAAGCATAGAGCTGAAAATGGGCTGTATTTGCCCTTCGGTGGTATCCCACTTGAAAAAAGAATTGAGATGTTGACAGAGCAGAAATTCCTTTGTGGTATGAGTTTGTTTAAAACCATTGTGACAGACCTGAAGATTATGAAGAAGTATCTTACGTAAAGAGAACATACATGAGCCAACCCAGTCGGTAGTTTGAAACCACTGAGGATGAGTAATTTTATTAACTTTTCTGAAGGTTCTTTAAAAAGAAATTTGTCTCATTCTGTTTCCAGAAGTGCCTGTACTTGAAAATATTTTTGTCTTCAAAGAGCTGACTTAACTGAGGAATAAGCTTGCAGCAGGAAAATAGGAGGTGAATATTTCCTGAAGAAACCACCAGTATGGATCCAGCAGTAACGCTGCTTCCTATCTTTTACTTCTGAAATATTAAAATGCCCTAATAGGCATTTGTTTTGTTGTTTAATTTATTTTAGCAGTTTGTGCTGCTTGTCTCAGACATAGCATGTACGCATAGTAGAAATCCTACTGTTAATTCAGACTGACATGCCATATAGATCAGGCATTTTCAACTTTGAATCTTGGAGATAATTCAGACCAAATCAGAGAAGTCATGCATTGGCATCATCATTGAAGATGTTTGCAGACTGAGTGGAAATGGATTCCCTAACATGTCTGAAGTGCATCATCCTGCTTAAGCCCGTCTGAGGAAACGTGAGTCCATGCTGTGTGAGGACACAGATGTTCATGCTGGGATTTTGTTTTGTGCACATACAAAAAATACCCTAGCCAGCCAACCCATTAGCCAGCCAGTATGTGCTGCTGTGTGCCCTCCAGTATAGCATTCCCGCTTGGTACTGGCGAGTGCAAGACTCCAGGAAAGTGGAAAGCTGGCTGAACATTTGGTCCTTAAGTAGTATTTTGGGCTTCAGAAATAGCTTTTTGGATTCCTTGCTTTTCAGCTGCTGCCTTTTCTCCTTGGTGATACTGAAGGCTTTTTGTTCTGTCAGAAGTGGCCTGATGGAGTTACCAGGATATGCACTTATAAAAATTATTAAAATGGAAAAGTAATTCTGAATTCACAGTCACCTGCTTGTCCCTAATCACATCACAGGAGCTCCTCCTCCTCTGCTATTCCTAAAATCCCCATGTTCTTCCTTCGTCCTCCCCAGGAAGTCTTTGATGCCATTCTGACCAAGTTGCTTCACCTTTCCTCAGTCTTTTAAATCTTTGCTGTCTCTGCACGAATTTAAATGTCTTGCTCTAGCAGTGAAATCTCCCTGCCTTCATTTCCCACTTGCTTTTGTTTCACATTGTTGTTGTTGGTAATATCAGCCTCATTCCTCTCCTCCTCACTCATGATTCTCCATGGTACGTTTCAAGATGTCACTTCTCAGACAAAACATTACAGTTTCTGCTTTTCAACTCCTTCTTGTCTCCATGCTTTTTTCATTGCTGCTTCTTGTGTCAAAAACGTGATTACCTTCATTGATCTCTGAGAATCTTCAGGGTCTCTTTAAAGCCTACATTTTCTTTTTAAATTTTTCTGACAAGTTTTTTTTTATGTGTGACGTAATTCCCCTCAAATGTGGTTGCTAATATCTCTATTATATTGCTTCAAAATTACTATTGCATGCAAACGTTACAGCACAATTCAAATTACTTGTTTTCTTTCCTCTACCTATGTTTACTATTGATGCTCATTTCTTTATGCTCCATAATCTCCGTCAAATATTTGCCCTGACCTTACACATCCATTACTTTTTGCATCTAAATAGCCTGAGCAAACTCAGTGAATTATGTGTATGCTTAAAATTAAGGGTATTTGTGCAGATTGGGCCATTAGATAATAACTCATTGCAGCATGAAGTGTCTGCTTCAACACTGGTATTTAAAAGTTCCATTGCTTGTGTTGCCATTAACAAATGTCGAGAATGAATTGTAGTCTTATGTCAGATGGTAGTAAACATTGCAACAGGATAGTTTATTATGGAATTGCAAATATAGCTGGACAGGGCCTGCAGCACAGGATATTGCTCACTTGTAGCTGCTGCAATGCTGAGGAGTGTTGCATACACTTCGTGATTTTGTGTTGCTGAATCCTTAGTGTCCTTGCTGAAGGTAATGAGGCTACAGAGACCTCGGGCAGGAGAGTCTATTACTTCTTTAACCTTTCTGAAGAGGGCAATTACACCGCTTTCCCATACAGTGCTGCGACCTCTGTCTTTCTGCTTTTGTAATTGAGAAAGAGAACGTCTCCGAATTGCTGCCTTCCAGTGTGGAGAGATGGCAAAGGTCAAAAGGATTGAAAGTGAGCAGCTAGGATCAGCAGTTTAGAGTTGGTTGTTAATATGCTGATTTACTGTCACTCGAGTCTAAAGAGATTTTTCACAATTGCTTGCCTTTTGCATGCTCTTTAAAATGCTGATTTTTTCCTCAGAAATCTAATTATATTTTAATAAATTACTTTTTATTTCTAGCTGGTTGCTGACTTACCCCTTACTCCCATGCAGCACCGCAGTTAAAAACAGAATCTGTGTGAATTCATTGCAGAGTTACACACCTTGCTAAATCTTTAAATTGTAAGAAAACAATGAGTTATTTTTCCCTTTTTCTTAATGCACTCCTAGTTACATGAAGTGCCAGCAACAAGAAAAAATATATTCAGCCTCAAAAATCTGAATTATTTAGTAATCTTCATGAAGTAATAACATAGGTTGTTGAAGTTAAATAATAATATCTGGATTAAATCATTTCATCTTCTGTAGCTCTATAGTGCAACGTGTGGACTTGCCTGAAGTCAGAGAGCCTGGCATGACTAAACTCTTGAGGCCAAATTTAATTCCTAACTCTGTCCCTGACTTCATTACTTTAATCAAGTCACGACCTTTCTTTGCCTTGGTTAACCTACAGTGTAGGATATAAATAGCCTATAATCTTGGAGATTTTCTGAGAATTAATTATTATTAATGAAATGAAAGGCTCCATGATGTGCAGGCTATTTTTATTTATTATAATTACTTATTATTAATTCACTGAAACTTTAGAAAGTTCTATTGTAGGCTTCCTGTGACTCAGATTTTTACATTAATACATTTGTCCCCTGCTATGGCTATTCAGTGCCATTACCCACCTTAATAAATTGTTATAGGCTAGCTTCAAAAAAAGTGTGAGGTGTTGAAGGAAAAGGGAATTTGGCATAAAATGGAATCTGGGGAAAATCAGTGCATGTGCTCTTTGCAAACCCCCTTTGACTCTTGACTGTAATGGCATCTAAGTTGGAGTTCAGGTACTCAGCCTCACCCCAGCACTGTGCCTGCTATTTCCAGTTGCCATGGCCCAGTCTTACAGGTAAAGCTTTATGTTGTGTGCAGAGTTAAAGCTGTGTGAGTGTGGAGGAGTTCTCCCTCTGTCCATGCTAGAGGCTGAGGGACACTGTCTTCACCTGATGCCTATATAGTAATTGCTTTTTGGGTTTGGTTGGTTTTCATATTGATGCATCCATTCAGTGGTGCTCTTATAGCAAGTGGTCATGCGCCATAAAAGCAGGTTGCATTCCGTATCCCGTCACAGGATTGCCAAGGAAGGGAAGGCGTAGGTCTTGCTTTTTCTCCTAAACATCTGCATCTATTTGGAAGAGATAGAAAATCTTATGTGGCCAGAGAGAGGGAGCCCAAGAGGAGGCACACTGTTTAGGGCACACAGTCTGGAGGGTGAATGTACCTTGCTGCAAGAAGCCCTGAGCTTCGTAAGCAACATCTGCTGCTCAGACACTTGTTCTCTTTATCCAAGATACAGAGAGGATGACAATTGTGGAAAAGGAAGCTTTCTTTTACTTGTTTTATTTTTTCACACTTCAAAGCAGTTTCAGTTCCATGGGGGGCATGTGCATTGCAGCTTGGGAATCCTGACCTCGACCAAACGTGCTTTATGGCTCAGGGCTGCAGTATTATATCTTTTCTTATTTGGTATTACAATGTATTATTAGTTAAACTGTTGCACCAATGCTTACAATGACTGCCTCTTTGAGAATATTGAATTTATATCATCATTTAGGCAACAGACTGCTTGAATAAGAATGTGTCTTTATGGTTTTGCAAAGCTCTTAGAACATGTTTGAGTGATGCATGAATAATGACCTAAAAATAAATCAGCTTTATGCTATTAAGCCAGAGGAGTGAATCTTGCACGGACCACAAGCAGAGGCGAAATACAGTGTAATACAACACCCAGAACAGTATAAAGTTTTCTGTCTCTTTACTTTCCAGCTGTTACATGCCTGACAGAGAACGACGAAGCCGCGGACGTCTCTGAATGCATGAAATGGGCTGAACCTATGCCACCTCTTGTGCAAGACTGTCTCGTTCCCTGTAAAGATGACTGCACATTTACCCCTTGGTCTAAATTTACAGCGTGCTCGTTTGACTGTGAATCAACAAAAACTAGGAGACGATCACTCACAGGTAAAATCTTTTCTAATACTTATCTAATTATGATATTCTTGAGTGATGTATCTTAGATGCTGGTGAACTGATGTTGGAGTTTCAGAAAATCCCAAAGAGAATAGGCAATTCCTCATTGATTTTTAATCTGATTCTGATTCTTGCCTTCTTTATGCACGTGCTTTTTGGGATGGGAATATTGCAGAAAAACCTCAGTGGTGAGAACCTGTTTTTGCACATAAACCAAATAGTGACTACGCCTTGTGCAAGTTTATTTGACCAATTAATCATGAAACATGAAGAAAAAGAATATATTTTTCAGTTTTAGACTGTTGAAATCAGAATAAAACTTAAAACTGGGAGTTTTGTGCATAGCACTATCCAGTAGTTCAACAGTGCAAATTAATACCATGGGTGAAGAAAGAACAGTATTGTTCAAACAGTTTTGTTTGATCTTTTATATATATTCACAAAAAAAAGACACCAAAAACCTCTGGTTCAAACCATTTAATGGAACATTCTTGCTGTTGTGATATGCGATTATGTTATTTGAATGCTGACCAAACTGAAAAGCTTTGTAACTCTAGGATGTTAATAGTTGAGAGCAACTTGCTTTGTTAGGATTTGTCTCCCCCCCACATAGTAAATCAAGTCAAAATGGATTATACTGTTTCCAGCTTTACAGTAAATTTGCTGTTGTTACCCTGAACATTCATAACTTGTCACATTGCTGTTTTGTGTCTGAGAGCTGTGGTGCACATGGCTCCTTTTCTGGAGGTGAGCTCCACTACTGGAAGTGAAACTTCAAAGAATTCTACTGTGAAGTGGAAAAGTAACATAGTCGTGAGAGTATCTGCTGCGATAATGCCTGGGAACAGAATGGCAGCAAAATGGGGTGGCTACCACTGTTTCTTTCTTCTGGTAGCACTTGTACCATGATTATTTTGTTATTCTGTTTGTTACTGCTGAAATGATCCAAGTTTTTAGTAAGTAGCAATCACAGTATGTAGACATAATGGCATTTACGGTGAGTATGGCTCGCTGTAAAGATTTTGCTTCTACATAAAAATCATTATTATAAAATGCTCTGTTGTTTCTGTCAAAGAGCATATTCTAAAATCTTACCCATATTGATACCTGTATGTTTAAAATAGTAGCAATCCTCCATCTCTATCAGATTAATATCTGTGTGATCTTATGAAAAGTATGATACCATAAGAAAATGTTGATCGTTTACTTGCAGGTGGCTTTAAATCTGAATTGTCATTATGAACATGCCTGCAAAATGCAAAACAGTATGGCCCTACCTACATTTATTCTTTCTCATTCTGTTCTGCATCGGACATAGATCTGTTCATGCAAGTGGACCTCAGCCCACTGCCTGACAGGGCACCCTGAGAAGCCAGTGGTGAAGGGCAGCAGGTGTCCTGGGTGGGACTGGGCAGCACAAAGCCACAGATTCCACCAAGGGAAAGGCCAAATCAGAAATCACTCTTAGGAAGCTGCAGTTCCAAAGAGGTTTGTTGGATTAGGGCTCTCCTTTCTTTACATAAAACTTGATAATAACTGGTACTGGCTTCATCACATAGCCAGAGTTCAAAATCTCATCACTATGAGCTCAGTCCAAAGATCCAAGAAAAGGGCTGTTTGGGGAATACATCACAGCGTTGATGTGCTCCACTTGTATTTCACCTTTTTTGCAAGAATGTATGAGTTGCATCTCCTTGCTCAACATATGTCTATGCTCAAATGAATGCTCAGAGTTAATTACAAGAGTTTATTAAGAATGTCATTCAGTGGGAATCTGCTAATTGTTTGCTAAGTATTTGCCTGCCTCCCCCTCAGTTTTCGGTATTATCCATTTTACTTTGTAAGTAATCATAGACCCTACACAGAAAATTAGTCATTAATTAAGAAACTTATTAAAAACATATCAAAATTCAAAGTCATTATAATGAAAATGCAGCTTTTAAGCCAGTCTTCAGTTAATAAATAGTCAAATATTCAGTGTATTATAGATACATTACATTTTATGTAGAAATATATTCTCTTAATGTTGTTTAGTTTTTATGCATAGTACGTGCTACCTGGTAATATTGAATGTAATATTGAATGAATATAATATTTGTTGGTGTTCAGAAGCTCAGTTTATGAAAAGAAAATGCTACTTAATTGAAGGGTTTGTGTCCTTGAAAATGTTTTGGGATGGTATTTTTGATCAGCATTTTTGTAGCACTCTGTGAAGATCACAGAAATATCACTGCTGCTGATTCTAAAATGACTTCTTTGTGAAGAGAATGGATTGGATGCTACAATAGGGCTTTAATAGCACCTTCATTAGAAGATTCCTACAAAAGGGATGGCAAGACAAGCTCTGTTGTGGCTGAGTGAGGTTATCAGCATCCTTACCTATATCTGATGTGCTTCATATAGTACTGCCAAAAACTAGGAACCATGCATTCATGGCAGAGCCCAAATTCCTTTGCCAGTAGACAGTTCCCAATCTATTTAAAGCCTTTTAAGACTCTCCTTGAAGCATGGGGAGTTGTACCTCTTACCTGGTTCATGAGTGTTAGGGAGGATAATAAGAATAATTCAAAGTTTCCCCAAAATCCTCTATGGTAGCTGGATTTGTAGATGCCCAGCTGCTGTGTGGGCACTCAGGGAGATGGGCACAGGTCCAGGCACACACAGCCACATGCATGCATGGTTCTGTTTGCATTCCCAGCTCTCCTTTAGGGCTTGCCTGCCGCTGTGCTGCCAGCTGAAAAAAATAATGCTGGCATTTTTGTATTTCTTCGAGCTTATTTTCCTTTTGTGCTTGCAAACTTCGCCTTCCGGGGGACTCTGGATGTACACTTTTTAGAGAGCTGGGCTTGAAGGACGTGAGTCTGAAGGGCTCTTCTCTTTGCAGAGATACATGTTTGTACACAAACAGGTTTTGTCAAGGCCAACTCGTGCTCCTATTGAAATGACTGCTGGACTAGCAAGGGGACTGTTGGGTATACAGCTTATTGTTTGTTTTTAGTATCGTACTTGTCTGCAATTGCAAAGAGAAAACATTTCTTTTCAGATCAAAGCTTTAAAAACTTTTTGTAGAAGTATTTTTAGAGTGTACAGGATCCCCAAGGGGTGTTTGAGGATGTGATACAGATGCAGTTGTTAGTGAAGATGAATCTCCCCGTCTGCTTGGATGCCAAATACAAAGACATTCCTGAGCTCAGACAGCGTAAAGATTACTCCACTTCACACTGCCTAACCCATGCCAAGAAAGGCATTGATTTTACCTTCCAGAGGCTGTGCACAGACCTTTTTTCTGCTTGAGCAATTGTAGGGATTCAGGGAGCATGGATTCTCTCCTTTGGATTATCTCCTTCCAGGGACTTCTTCTCATGTCTAGAAGTCCTCCAGGAGCAGGGTCTGCTGAGTGCACTTGCAAAGAGCTTCTCTGCAGGTTCATTTAAATGCTTCTGCTTTCCTAAAGTTGCTGAAGGAGAAAGATCTGTAAATAGCCTTCTTTTAAAGCCTGTTGAAGGAACAGAGCAAAAGAAAAGATTAAACCAATTGTAACCATTGAAATGCTTTCCAGCCCTGATAATTTACTGAGGATTATCTTTTCTGTTTTCTTCAAAGTACAGTTTGTGTGCAGAGTGCATCTTTAACTAATTTGTAAAGTAGCATCAAAGAAGAAGTTGTGGCTAATGTGGAATCCTTTCTAGGTTGTCCTGGCAACCATTGATTGCAAGCAAATAGAGACAAAACAATCAATTTATTTGCATCAGATAATTAGAGAAAAGTGATATTATATTAAATTACAAAACGTTTTTTGAGCAGACTGTTAGTACAACAAGGCTTTGCATTTTGCTCCTTGCCCTATCCATCAAAACAGTATTTCTGAGTTCTCTTGTTGCCCCTGGAGATAAATACATGGTCCTTGCACTCCAAAGCACTGGCAGCAGCAAATAGGTGCCTAGGAAATGTTCCTGGATATTAACATTCAGATTGTCTTGGTTCTAATGTGTTGAATTCCTGCAAGTATAAATAATATGACATGTCGTTATCAAAAGTAGCAGATGTTAAGCTAACGAACAGATTTCTCTGGTTGGAACAGGGAGAAGCAGAAAGCGAGACAAATGCCAGAACACAGAAGTTTATCCTCAGGTTGAAACAGAGCTGTGCCCCTGCGAGGTGTTTACCTCCCAACCCCATGGAAACTGGTCAGACTGCATTATCGGAGGAGGGAAGTTAGAGCTGCAGGCAGGAGTGCAATCCCACGGAGGCACCAAGGAGTGTGGAGAGGGCGTGCGGCTGCGAGCCATTGCCTGTTACGATAAGGCTGGCAGACTGGTGGAACCATCTCACTGTAGCAGCTCAGGTAAGGGGATTAAAAAAACCAAGTGCACAACGTATGTAAATGATGACCTGACGCTGGGTGCGGCGATCCACTCAACAGCTTTTGGAGCCTGTCACATGAATGTAACTGTGTGCCTGCTGGATTAGGACAGCTTTCCTGGGGTTGCTGTAATGCAGTTCTTGTAACTTCTTATCCTTCTTGGGACCAAGGTTTTCTGCCATCTAGGAGTCTGATGACATTTCTACATTTGAAGTGAAATAGAAGAGGGCTGGAGTTGACTACACTAGTGGAACGCTAGTGGAATATAAATGGATTTCTACTGTTTGTATTAATTCCATAAAAGTCTAAACTAGATTAGAAATTAGAGGGAGAAGTTGCATTTCAATCAGCAGTTTCCTTCAAGATATCTCCTACTTCAGTTTTTACTTGCTTGTAAACCTTTATTCCTTTTTGCTAAATCTGGTAATTCTTAGAGTTTTTTCAGTGTGGGATTTTCCTGATACTGTCTTATATAATTGCCGTGGGTCTGTGATGTCCTTGTTATGCTGCTCATTACTCATGACTTCAGCAGTCAGTGGTCTCGTCCTTGTGATTTTGAACCAGTATTGAGCTCCAAACGATATACAGCATATATTCCGATTTCACTGCTTGCTGGGACTCTAGGCTGTGCTTCTGTCCTAGAAGGAGTTTGTCTGTATGTGTAATCTGTATCAAACACATGCCTTAGATAGAGAGCAGTAACAGAGCTGAAACAAGCAGGAGATGTCACTCCACCAGGGTATTTTCTCCTCATTGCCATAATTTGCAGTTCATTGAAATCGTTACTCTGAATTGATGTACAGGCAAAAGCATTATCTTAGGAGCAGATTCTTTACCCATGCTGCTCCCAAAACACTAATGCTCTCTGACGTCCAGCCAAAAAGCTTAGGATGCCACACAGTGCAGTACAGTGAGCTGGAGGACTAGGTTGAGCTCTGTAATGGGAGAAGGAAGAAACGAAGTCTCAGGAGATTAATAAATACAAGAAGGACCATTATTGTTCCCGAGTACTAGGGAACGGAGAGGCTGCTCTGTGGAGGATCTTCAGGACAAGGATCAGCGGTCTGAGCTGCATGTGATAAAAGGAAAATAAAAACACATCCTGATGAAGTGATTCAGTTCTGGAGTGAATTTCTCTCGCAGCTGTTTATGGCTGTTCCAGCTGGCTGCACGGATTCATAAAGCAGCTTTCCGTGGTTTGTGTTTCAACAATGTGCTGTTGTACCAATTGATTATGCCTCTGTGGCCCATGAAGGAGGAATGCTATACCTTACCCCCACGATGTTACCTTTTCTTCTGACAAAAGGGAGCTGCTGAGCTTTCAAAGGTGGATTTGACTGTAGTGTCTTGCTCTCTTGAAAACCTCAAGGCTTTTATCACGATTAAAAGAGAAGCTTGTCTATGCGTGGGGCTTCTCTGAATAACCTTGATGCCTGTCAGTGATATTTATGTGGTATTTTTAATGGTCAGGCTTTTCTTAGGGAGTAATAGCTTAAGGGGATCATTGTTGGCTTTCTTGTCTTCAGCTTTTTATCCAAGCAGGAATGATTGCAGCATGGGCCCTGGCACAGGATCCATGTCAGAGGCTACAAGGGTGGTCAGTACTGGACAGCAAAGTCCTTCTGTACACACTGTGGTCTACATAAAGAGTGCTCTTAAGACCCCAAGGTTTGCAACTGGGAAATAGGTGTGAAATGTTTCCACCTCGTGAATGCCCCGTAATAGTTCCCTTAAGGGTGAATTATTCACCTCCAGCCAGTCCCATGTGTAATATTCAGGATGTGTAAACTGGCTTCCCAGAAACAGAGAATTTCACGTTATGAAGGCAATCGCAATGGTTTCACCATAATAAAAAGCACTCCAATGTCACCATGGTAGGGGAAAAGTCCAGTAAGATGCCAAGCCTTTGGGAACTCTGACCAGATCGAAGCAGTGATCTCTCAAAACCTTTCCTTAGTTGGATCCTGTACCCATTCCCACTTGCTACTCAGTGCTGGACACCTTCCATTCTCTGCAAGGCAATGCTGCGTCCCTCTCTGGAGGTCGTGAATGTTTCTGATTTCAGTCTCCAATTTCCATCAGTTGAAACCTGCCTTCCAACCAGAGCAGTTAAGTGGAGATAAGACCAATATTTATGGTCTCAAGAGCTGGGAGCTTTCAAAATGTGCTTCTGAACATATTGTTGAATTAGCGATAGAAACAAATCATTATCCAATTAATAATTAGCAGGATGTTATTCAACCATAATAGAGAAGGGCAAATTACAGAAGTACGCAGATTGCTAAGCCCTGTGAAATTATTCATGACAGGTTTTTCTGAGCAGCTTAGACTGTCTTGTTCACAATTAGAATCAGGTAACCTTGTGACATTTTCTAGGTGACTACATTTATATCTAATTAAGCCATGGCCTTATTTTTTGAATGCCAGTCATTGTGATATCTAAGCGTTGTTCTTTCTTCATCAGATTTAGAGATAAGCAGTGTTCCTCTTCTCTTTCTTTGAGCTCTTCTGACTTCTCTTTGTTTTTTCCTCCTGTCCTTTCGCCAGGACAATTCTTTCTTTTTCTCCTTTGAGCAAAAGTGAGAATTTGTAAAACCTACTTTTTTTTTGCTAGGTCTCTTTGAAGAATTTTTACAAAATGTAGAAAGACTCATCTAAGGTTACAAACTTTGCCTTAGAAGTAGATTTAAGTTTGTCCCAGACTTGATAATACCACGAGAACAAGGTATAGGAAAAAAAAAGTGGTCAGTTTGTTGCTCTTTTAGAGAGCAAACTTTGGCCTTTTGCCTTCTTGCAGCAGTGATTTTCACCTTCCATGACTGAAACCTGGCTGTTAAAATTCCATAGGATTTAGTTCACCTACATCAGTGTGACTTACCATGTGAATGTATCATAAATATGTGAACGTAACAATGGCTTTGAGCCTAATGTAGAGATTAATCACTCCTCAGAGAGGTTCAGGGTCTGAGGCCCTTAAAAATACAAATCTCAGACAAATTTCCTTCTGTATCAAAGCTTTTCTGTGATGTACAGGAAAAAAAACCCAACAACATAGCACAGCTTTTTTTCACAAGACTGGCTTTTGCGTTTAGTGTGCTGCTTTATTTTAGTAGTGTCGTTATTTTCCTTGATGGCCCACTCAGTAAGCCCACAGAATGACTGTCTTGCAGTTTCTAAACCGGACAAAATCTTTTCCTGCTGGAGTTGGTTCATTCTCCTTTTCCTTTCTTTAATTTGGAAAGCCAATTAGGAAATTAAGGATAGAGGTAAATATCTCCAACTGTATTACCAAAATATAATTGATAATTTGCCTCAATTAGTCCTTCCCATCAGAAAAATAAATTATCTTGTTTTCAGCTTACCACTCCACAGAGTCGCTGGTTGCTGGTTGGCATTCGGAGCATCCTCTTGGATGTGAATTTGTCCTGCTAATTGCAGCTCATCTGCTTCTTTCAATCTGTCCTAATGCTGGTTGTGCATTTCTACCTCCTTTGTTTCAGATTATTTCCTTGGCCTCTCTTTTTTGTATGCTGTGCCAATGGGTTTTTGTTGGTGGTGTTTCTTTTTCGTGTTGTTTTTTTGTTTGTTTTGTTTGGTTGTTGGGTTTTTTTTTTTTTTGGTTTTTAAATCTTGGAGGAGGAACGTAGGGTGCCTCATCTGTTCCAAATCAAAGGCTGGAGATCTCTGTGCTGCCACACAGGGGTTTCTCTTTTGATCTGATGGGGAATTTATGGAAAGCTGGAATTTATGAAATGCGCTTATGCTATTCAAATTTTGCTTTGCTGACAGCAACAGGAGCCTGGAAGAAAGATACAACAGACAAACAGATCCTCGCTTTAAATCATTGAGCAGTCGGCTTCAACACACAGTCTCCACAAAAAGCTTTAATTATCTCTAAATTTTTGAATAATCGTCTTCCTCACTCTTAGTAGTAAAATGTCCTCCTTGCTCTCAGTAGTCAGATGTTTTCTTACATGGTTTAGCTGCCTCTGGAGAAACAAAAAAGGACTGCAGTTTGCTGAGACTGTTCCTGGGCATTTCTACTCATGGGGAGGTGTCCCTTGGTTGCTTCCCAGCAGGTCCATGGGATACTGCTGCTGGGAATGCTGCTGACAAGGTCACCCCCTGAGAATGTCAGTTCTGTTCCTGTGGAGACCTAGGATGGGTGATTCCTCATTTGCAAAACATTTTTTTGCTTTTTTTTTTTTGCTCCTGTAAAACATTGCTCCCGGAGCAAGCATTTGCACAAAGAGAAGTTGAAAACTTTCATTTGTTGCTGCTGGAGGAGTGCTCCCTGCTTGAGGCACAGCAGACAGCAGTCGCCAGCTCTGGCCAGCTGTGCCCCTGATGCTGACAGATTTAGGACAATATTCAAAGGTCACGGATCAGGAATTTTAACTCCTGTTGCTGAAAACCAGGTAGTGTTGAGTCTCATGAAGTCTGATTTTCTAAAAGGTCAGTCCACAGTAGAGCTGTGCCTTTACCCAGGGCATTCCTCTGGGTTTTGCACTCTCTTGCTTCCAAATGCTGGCCATCAGTTTGATGGACACAGTGTGACTAGCAGGGATCCATTGCAGGGACCCACTCTGAAATGCTGCACAAGTGAGCCCTATGCCAACTGACCCTCTGTCTTTCATCTTCTTGCTTACATGAAATCTTCAGTTCTTTAGGGTACTGTAATTCCAGATTTAGCAAAATGATTTTGTTTCTGGATGAAAAGCTAAAAGCATCTGAATTAAATGAGTTATTTTAGGAGAAAATGAGACCCTTTTAATCGCTGGCCTTCAGTAATCTGTCTGCAAAGCAATATTTGTTTAGCTCAGAAAACTATAAGCAGAGCCTGACAGGTAAAAGAAATGTGACCTAAGTCTATCGTGGACTGATAGCACACTTATCTTTTTTGTGAGATAACAATATGGAAAGCCAAGGTTGGGAAAGCTACTTTGAGTAAAGGCCCATTTATTTTTGAAAGTGCACCTATT